AATCATCTACCTCATTCATTATTGGGTGAATCACTCTCCTTATTTACTTAAATGTCATTTATTGCTAGTTACTCCTCCATTATTGTTCATACCTTTTAGAATATTAAGTGCATGTTATTTTCAATCTCTCATTGACTCTGTCTTACATTATCCGTGTTTTTAAGATCTATATCTAGAGATATTATTATTAACTAAGTTTAGCCCTTTATTACATAAAAATAATAGTTTAACCAAAAGTTTATACTTTTTGGTCAAACAACTAGTTGTTACTTATCTTGTAAGTAATAGTTTGAATTCACCTTGTAATTCCGTTTTCCATTTCTCCTCCCCGCTCTTATATGTATGTAATATTTATAATTAAAAAATAGAATAACAAAGAAAAATAATAATAACAACTAGAGGCAGATCTAGCTCGTAATTTATGGGGTTTATGAGAATCTAGTAGTTGTGAATCAATTGCTATTATTATATATTGATATGAGATTGCTGTAAGAATTCATAAACTTCAAATTCTATATTTCCCTCTAAATTAACAACTATGCTTTAGTTCCCCAAAATATTTATTGAGTCATTTTATTTATTATAAATGTCTTCGGGTGTTTTCTGAGGTGCATTCTTCTTCATAAATTAACTCCTGAAAGATCTTTTTTTGACGTTAAAGTTCATATGGAGGACCATTATATTGTTTGCTATAATACCAATACAATCTCTCTTGTGTGCAAAGTGAGATACTCAATGTGGCATTCTTTGATTGGTCAAGAAATTTTTAAAACAAAATAAAATTTAAAATTTGTGATCTAAATTTTGATAGAAAAAAAACACTAATTAGAATAAGAAAAATTCTTGCTAGTCCAATTAATTGGCTACTTGAACCTACCATGCTGCAAGCAACTCAAACAAGGGGTTGAATTTGAATACAATTGGCCTTATATATTGTCCATTCCTTTATTACAAAAATAACGACGCCAACAATAACAAGAAATTTTGTGTAATCTCACAAGTGGGGCAGACGTCACCCCTGTCTTGAAGATGGAGAAACTATTTTTAATAGACTCTCGGCTTAAGAAAAGATGACAAAGGAAAGCAGTAACAAGAAATAGTAACGTCAGCAAGATAACAAAATAACCAAAGCGAAAGAACCAACAAATAATAATAGAATTTTGAAAAAGAAATACAAGACTAACACTAATATTATTGGTCAGGACAAGAGAGACGCACAACTACCTATTAATCTTCTGCCCTAATTCTCGACCTCCACACATTCTTTTCGGGGTCATATCTTCGATAAGTTAAACAACATCATATCTTGATAATTGCAAAAAATTAACAGGACTGCAATACCATGTCTAAAGTTCTCAATTGAACTTGTGTGAATTCATCCTTGACGATAACTATATAATGTAGTCTAAAGTTTGCAATCATGTGTGAATTTAGACAAAATTTGGTCATAAAAATTTTCAGTTTCTTATACAACTTCCGTCCGTCATAACTTGCAAATAGGGTAAATCTTGCCAATCTAGCAAGAAAAGTTATGCTCGAACTATTTTGCATAAATTTCTTAAAATAATGGTATGTAAATATCCTATTTTTGCATATCTTCCAAAAATAAAGATTAGAAGGAACGGGCCTTATCTCTCGGTCACTCAAATTACATCAAATGTCCTAAAAAATAGATGGTCTTACTTTTTTGCCACCTGGTTGCCTCGTGAGCAAACTTTTAAGACCAAAAGTCAAAAGCGTTATCCATAGAGACAGTGAAAAATATCACTTATTAAACTTGAAGTTATGCTCATAGGACAAACGAAGTTGAAAAATATCCATTTCCAAGGTCATTCTTGTAAATCAACGCAAAAATTGTTGAGCCAAAGTCCAATTACCCCACTTACCCCTAAACCAAGTAGAAATGATACCAGGTAGCCATTCTAAAGGGTTGTTATTTCAGAATTAGTCGGTGCATCCTAAATTTTAATTTTTTAGTTTAATTTTTCGGGACAAAAGTATCTTGAATTGTCCTGAAGTTAAGATTTTTAGTTTAAAACTAGTATTAGTACCCGCGCGATGCGCGAATAATTAAAAAGAATGACCTACACCATAAAGTTTAATATGTTAGTGTTAATACCATCTTTACCAAACATTAAAAATATTTTAAGACTCTAGTAAAACTTTTATTTCATCTCCTAATAAATGTTCCATAAAAATAATGATACTATACAATTTGTTTGATATGAATGTTCCACAAAAAATAATGATGCTATACAATTTGCTTGATATGTAGCACGTGCCTAAGGGAACATTTTTGTAGCAAATGCTCATGACATATTGCAGTGCATTTTTCAGAAGTTGTCCTCTGTATTGAGGTTTATCACTACAAAAAGACATGGGTAAAAACTCAAGAATTTCTGGTGAACCCCTATCACTAACATTTTGGAAAATTGAAAACCTAATTATGCGTAAGACACCTTACATTTCCTAATGCTTGTATTGAAAGTACGAAAATCCCAATAGTTGCATGAATTCGATCTCCCTAAAATAAAAAAATTGAAAAGAAATTTAAGTTAGTAAGGTGCATAAGTTGAAGAAAATACATCACAACTCGAAAAAAATAACATGTAAAAGAGTATGCACCTTTTCATCTTGAATAATTAATTCAATTAAATTAGAATTTTTGGTTTCTCGCGGTCTGGAATGTGCCATAATCTAACAACACGACCCTTTAAATTCCAACTCATTTTGGACATTAATATTTCGCTGATATAATTATAGTTTGGAGCTATAATTTGTAAAAGTTTGTGTGGAAGCTAAACCCTAAGTAATGTAAAGAAGCCAAACCTAAGCAAAAGTTATTTAAATAAAGATTTCTAAGGGAAGACAATCTAGTAAATCAATTTTTAAGTATATGAAATTCTAATATTTAAAAAGGTATGTGTAAATCAATTTGTATGAGTGAGTGCGCAAAAAATGATACGGATCTTCATTTTTTAGCTTTTGGCTTATTTTAATTTTCAACGTTTTTTTTGTGGTTAATTATAATTTGTTAATCACCAAGCCTTAATTTTTCTTGTCTTTTTTCCTTTGTCCTCTTGTTCATTTTTCAATATTATTTCCTTTAATATAATATAGATGTATATAAAAATATTTATTTAATTATTTCTTTCTTAAAAAAGAATACATACAATAACTGAATTATACACAAAATTTAATTAAAGATATCTATAATAATGTATATTGTTCGTAAATAAGGTCAGATACAAAGCTTGTACTAAATATAGAATTATTATTTCAACTTAAAATTAATGTGTAAGATACAAAACGAAATTGTATTGATTCTTTCTCAAAAAAAAAAAAAAAGAATACCTACCATAACTGAATTATACATAAAATTTAATTAAAGATATCTGTAATTACAATATATTAGTCTGTTTACGTCTTTTTTTTTGTACGACCAGAAGATTCTACTTTGGTAATAAAAAAGAGAACATTTTAGTTTATGTAATTCTTTCTTAAATTTTTCAGTCTATTTTCTTTAGTATAATATAAAATGTAAGACAAAACATTTATTTAATCAATTCTTTTTAAAAAAAGAATATGTACCATAACTGAATTTATACACAAAATTTAATTAAAGATACTTATAGTAATGTATATGATACATATATTAATGTATATTGTTCGCAAATAAGGTCAGATACAAAGTTTGTACTAAATATAGAGTTATTATTTCAACTTAAAATTAATGTGTAAGATACAAAATAAAATTTTAATTGATCTTTCTCGAAAAAGGATGCCTACCATAAAAGAAATCCTTAATAGTATTATAAGTCGATGATCCTGTAATTTTGTATGGCAAGTGTGAGTAATCTTATGTTGTCATATCACAATGATCTTTTTCTTTTACTTATTTTTGGACTTTGGTCCATAACAAGTTTTTTGAAAAGAATTTTTTCTTTCCATTTTTATGTCAGCAGAATATTTCATACCTTTTTCTCTTACCCATATTAACTCAAAGCATTAATTTCATATTTCAACAGAATATTTGTTATATGTAATATTACTCCAAATATGGTTATATATGTTCACGGACAACTCTATTTCATGTTTCATTCCCACCAAAAAATATTTAATTATTAATTAGATACAAAAGAACATCAAATAATAATTTTTTGCCGGAAACCATGAACTTATATATAATATAATATAGATATGGTGATATATGTTCACGGATAGCTCGATTTCATCTTTCTTTCCCAACAGATTTTTTATCCAATTAATAATTAGATACAAAAGAATATCAAATAATATTTTTTTTCAATGTTATACAAATAGAATCCAACAAATAGATTTCATAAAAGTGCCAAGTGGCTTTTTCTCAATACGCCACTTGGCATAACCTCATTCTTCATTACTCTCCTTTTAATATAATATAGATAGATTGAGTAAGATCTTATTTTGTTGCTTGAATTTATTTAATTATTATACTCAATAAATTTTTAATATCATAAATAAATTTTAATTTTATTTTATATTTAACATAGTCCAAAATATAAATAGTCATAGATTATCTCAATTTACGTATTTCTGTATTTTTTTTTATTTTTTTCTATTATAGTTTTTAATGTTTAATTAATTTTTCACTTCCATATTCTAGCTAATATAGAAGAAAATCTATGAATGAATCAATATATAGATATAAATATTGATATACATATAGATACAAATATACATATAAATATAGATATATAAATTAGATTTGTATAAGATCTATTTAGATTATGTATAAGATTCATTAAATTACTTCCATTAGTTATATTTCTATTTATAATTTTTAATAATTAATATTGTCTTAAAATTGCCAAGTGACTTCATTTTAGCTTGCCACTTGGCTTAACCACATGCTTCACCACTCTTCTTTTAATATAATATAAATTTTAGGACAAAATAATATTGGCTAATATTTAAATAGCATCCTTGTCCAATCGGGTGACTGGTCAAAGCCCAATTACCCGAAATGCGCCCCCAACCCCTTGCGCACCCCGAAATCGGTGACAGACCCTTTGCTCTTACGCGGAAAAAGAAAACCCTTTGCTCTCCGAATTCAAACAAAGCTCCATGGAAATGCAGAGAAAAATCACGGCTAGAGAAGACCGACTTAGTAATTTGCCCGATGAAATTCTAATTCACATCCTCTCTATGTTGCCGAGGTGGCACAATAAAGAAGTTGTGAGAAGCAGCGTATTATCTAGACGGTGGAGATTTCTTTGGAAGTCCGTCCCAATATCACTCGATTTCGACTTCCCCATTCGTGAAAGCGAAAATGACAATCTCCTTTACCTGGCTTCCATTCATAGAGAGCTTTATTATTGGAGGAATTGCGAGAAAATACAGAAATTCAGGGTCTGGCGCCTTAGGTACGAGGATCGTTTTGCTAAAGATATTGATTTATGGGTACATTTTGCAATTAAAGTTGCTAATGTTGAAAGTTTTGCACTTGGAATTATCGATACAAATCACCAAAGATATGAGTTCCCTCAATTTGCATATAAAAATGCATCGTTGAGTTATTTGGCTTTATGGTACTGCCAACTCAACCCTACTGGTAGTGTTAATTGGAGTAATCTCGTTTCTCTTTCACTTGGGTCTTTGCCTTTGACTGATGGTGTAATGGAAAAGGTATTATCTGGTTGCCCTAACTTGGAATGCTTGGAACTGGATAGTGTTTCGGGCATTCATCGTTTGGAAATCAGCTCTGTGAAGCTGACAAAATTGACCATACGCAATTACCTAAGTGAGAATCCTGACCTTTGGCTCGAAATATTAGCTCCGTATATTCAAAATTTGCAACTTTCTGGGTATTGCATTAACATATGTATCCGACAGAGAAATGTGGCTTCACTTGTCACTGCAGCCCTTCATTTAATTTTTGATTTTGGGAATCACGACTTGGAGAAGGAGGGTAGCTATTTGAAGGAACTTCTTCACGGTATTGCCCATGTCGAGAATCTTGAATTGGGTCCATGGTGCATCGAGGTTTATTCATACTCTTCTCTATCTTTTTTGTTTTGGGATTTCTTACTTGCTATTGAATCATCACTTTAGTAACATTAACAGTTCCGCTACTTAGGATAATCTGATAATTAAGTTGGTACGTACTAAAGAATTACATTCTCATGGCCAATATGGCTGGACAGTGGCAGCACGTTGAATTAAGACCTTTCCAACAAAATTTGGCTGATGAGCACTGAGAATAAAGAGTTTTGCAATGGACAGAACAAGAAGTAAAATTTGGATTGATTTACATTGATCATACTCTTTAAATCATGTGAATGGGGTTTTCCAAGTGTTTAGAAGTCCATCTTTGAATTTTCAAACCTATCATGAACACTAAGATGTGGCAAAACGCAGTCATCTAGTCCAAGCTGTTTTATGAATTATTCAACAATTTGCATTTCATTTATTAAGTATGTCATATTTCCTTGTTTTGACATACTGCGGTTTATGTATATTTTGTTTATAAGTTCCTGTCCGTACTGGAGTTGAAAGGGTGGCAGCCTCCACCATCAAACTGGAAATTCTTAGAACTTCCAGCCTTACAACAGTTGGACTTACCTGGACTTTGCAGCTTTCTCCCGTGTTCATTGGATCTTGAGGCATTGGTCATTGACTGGAGATACAATGATGAAGAAAGAGTAAGTTTCCGTTAGACCTTTATTTTTGTTACTTCATGTTATCCATATCAAACAACTATTGATGGCAGAAGAAAACAATACTTATTCCAACATATTTCTAATTTTAAGTATTTTATGAAAATAATCATAGTTTCTTAAGTTAGACCACCTTAGTGATATATTTTATAGATAATGATAAAAGGTTACAAAGAGGGGGATTGACTGCCTTACCTCTTCAAAAAAGGTAAGACTTGAACCGGTTTAATCCTCAAGTAAGGCGAAGATTGAGGAGGTTTAATCTTTGACAATAGTGTAGGAGATAAGCCTCTAAGGAGTAAGCAAAAAGAATTTCTGATTAGGAAGACTCCTATTTGCAGTGTGAAACATAGCTAGCCTACGTACTTAATGAGCTTTACAAGAATAACGTCTGGCTTGTGGAGACTTGCTACCCTGTATACTGTTTCCATAAGACTAATAGCCTGTTTGGCCAAGCTTCTTAAATCAGCTTATTTTGAGAATTACTTTTTTCGAAAGTGCTTTTTAAAAAAGTATTTTTGGTGAGAAGCAGTTTGTGTTTAGCTAATTACTTTTCAGCAGCCATTAATGTTTGACCAAGCTTTTAAAAAGTGCTTCTAAGAGCATGTTTGGCCAAGCTGTTGGGAGGCCAAAAGCGCTTTTTTGTCAAAAGAAGTATTTATTTGGAAATATGAGGTGTTTGGCAAAAATAGAAAAGTACTTTTGAGCAGCAGTAGAAGCAGTTTTTCTGCTTTTGGGAAGAAGCTACAAATTCTAGCTTCTTCCAAGTAGCAGAGGCAGAAAATTAATGTTTTCAAGACAAAAATATCTTTACCATAAAATTATATTTCCTAAATTATCCCTTATTAATTTAACCTTTACTTTTTTTTTTCTCTACCATCTTTTCTTCTTGTTTCTATTTTTACCGTGTTTTTATTCTTTGTTCTCTTATTCCTCTGCGGAATAATCTCTCTAATATAAATATATCTCTTCTTTTCCCTTTTGTTGTTTCTTCTTTTCTTCGTCTCCTACTACTCTTTGAAATAACAAGGCTAATCACCAAATTCAAGCATTTTCTTCATAAGGTATATGATTCTTTCTTTTATAATATACCAATATTATAGGATCTCCAGTTTGTAGTTTATTTGTACTTTTTTTGCGTGCATGCATATAATATAATTGACACAATGTAATACTACCTAGTTTGTTATTTTCTCAAGAATTGATAGTGTTTTTCATACAGGTAACATGTAAGCATATATGTTCCTACCAATATTACTGCTTTTATATACGTATATTTTATATTGATTAAAATCTGTAATACATATTACTTTATATTTTATATTCTAAGTACATAAAAATAAAAAATTAGTTAAATTATTTTATAATAAAAATTTAAAATTTCTCTTTTTAAATAATGCTAATTGTAAACAAACTTTTATTGTCCTTTATAGTAATTTGACACTCCAAAGTAGTTTTTGAAAAGATTGGCCAAACACAATTTGCTTATTAAATTTTGCAAAAAGTACTTCTCAAACAAATTGGCCAAACACAAACTGCTAATTTTCAAAAGTACTTTTCAAAATAAGTAGTTTTTGGCAGCTTGGTCCAAGGGACTCTAAGTTTATTTTTCTTAAAAGTGCTTTTGGGGAGAAACTATTTTTTTGTGCCTCACAAAAAATGCTTCTGCTTCTACTCAAAAGCACTTTTTTTTTCCTTCCAAAAGCTTGGCCAACACCTCAACTTTGAAAAAAAAGCACGGAGAAGCTTGGCCGAACATGCTATAGAAAAGAGAACAGGTGAGAGCAGTATTCTCAAGTATCATGTGAGCTCACAGAAGGTTCTAACCGGGAGGCTCCTCTTGTTGATTATTGGAGGTAAGTTTTGGGCCTTTTTCCCAATTTTGAAGGAAAGGAGCTTCCACTTGTCAACCCTTAAGTGCCCCCAACTTCTCTTGGTAGAGTTAAAGCTGAAATATTTCTTCTCTGCGTCTAATAGGTGGCTGTACCCAGCTGAAGAATCAGCCACACCATTGCTTCTCTGTGATAGTGTGTCACCCTGACTTTTTCACTTTGAATAAAGTCTTTAATCTCTTCAATAATAGGTTCATAGTGCCAAGAAGGTTTTGCAATTCCAGACAACATAAAACGATAAGTGAGAGTCAGCTTCCACCCAAATGTTTCTAATACAATGTTCAGGATAGCATTTAAGCCCATAAGAAAGTGCAAATGCTTCAGCCGTATTGTTTGTTCCATGGCCCAGGGGGGACTACATATGCCATAATAATATCACCAGAGTTCCTCACTATTCCGCCTCATCCACATTTTCCTTGGCCGTAACTTCCATCCATGTTTAGTTTTACCAATCGTAGATCAGTGTTACAATAATGCTTGTCCATCAAGGTGAGTATTTCTCAATGTGTTCAATGAAATTGCTCTAGGGAATTGGTAGTTCAAATTCTGGAAATTTCAATTGAATGCTGCTTTGCATGGATTTCAGAATCTGCTTTTTAGTGTTGAAAGTTGATGGTTTATTTTTGCTAAATCTGCTGCAGCAGCATGCGTATTGTTCCTTTTTTGTGTAAGAAATTTAGCGGAATTCTTTTGTTCTCTCAATTTTATTTTTCTCAAGAAAATAGTCCAGCTTGAGTTACTTTGGCAGAAATTTCATGTTGTCACTGTCAAAATTGATTCTACGAGTAAGTCAATTCTACAGACAACTTTTTTGTAGTTGTAGGAAAAAGATTTTTAACAAGGGATGTTACTCACCTTCATCCGAGGAGATACATGATCAACTTCAATTAAACTTTGAAACATTTTTTGTTGTTTGTGTGTACCACTTTGTAACGTTTTCTAAGCACTTGACATGTTCCTTGAATCTTAAAATTCGTCACCTCTTTTTTCTATCCACAATCAACTCCTTGGCATTCTACTTCCGTCTAAGATTCTAAGGAGAATAACTGGCTAATATACCGGATTCTTTCATGCAGGACCTACTGTCAAGGTACACAAATGAGGATGAACAGATCAGGAGGTTTGAAACACGTAATTTTAACTGCTCATTTCCAAATTTGAAGACCATCGAGATCATTAACTTTCATGGACCACTAAGTGAAAATAAGTCGCTGCTGCCATTGGTAAAATATTTTCTCAAGCATGCAACTGTGCTTGAAAAGTTCGTCATTGACGCCATATTCAAAGAGAGTGATATGCTGGATCATTTCGAAATGACACAGGAGTTACTAAGCTTTCCAAGATCCTCTCCGCAGGCTTCTGTTGTCTTTTCTTATCGATAATCTTTTGCCCCTCTCGTTTGTATTGATTGCAATATACTTAATAGCTGTTACTTTATGTCTGAAACTGACACGAGTGGGTTGCTCTAGTGGTGAGCACCCTCCACTTTCAACCAAGAGGTTGTGAGTTCGAGTCATTCCAAAAGCATGGTGGGGAGTTGTTGGAGCGGGAGATGCCGAGGGTCTATCGGAAACAACCTCCCTACCCCAGGGTAGTGGTAAGGTTTGCGTACACACTACCCTCCTCAGACCCTACTAGTGAGATTATACTGGATTGTTGTTGTACTTTATGTTTGAAACTGGTTATGTAGCTGATAAACAAGGTTAGGATTGTACTTTTCAGTGTCCAAGGAGTTGTTGATATTTCTTCAGTCTAAGTAACAGCATGTTTATTCTCTAATCATCATGTAAGGGAGCCTTCTCTAATTGTTTTGGGATTTCTATTCTTATTGCAGAATCCTCATCTTTTTTTTATACAATTAAAATTAAGTTGAAAAATTATTTTGCGAAAATAGTATTTCAAGATTCATTACGTGTCCAAGGGCGTGTTTATGTTGGCCTATGTTATTATCTTAGCTCTTCAATGTTTATCTGGCAGGAGTTAAATAGTGTAAGACATATCTTGATATTTGTATGGGGCAAAGAAAAAGGGAAGTGAGATTACCCAAGCTTTGGTAGATCGAGTTACCCGGTACCTTAACATGAGCACGACAGACACTCGCTCCTTTTGATGGTTTTATTCCTTTGCTGTAATTTTCCTCATGTAATCCTTTTGTATGATCAATGCCTGTTGTAAAAGTTAGAGTGGCTTTTAGTGACATTAGCAGAATATCTTGTATGGTTTTATTCGTTTGCTGTAATTTCCCTTTTAAAGACTCTGAAATGTGTTCTCAAGATGAGCATTCTGGACACAAATGACCAATATTTTATAATATATTATACTGGAAAATTCTCATGTTCACAAGTCCCAGAAAAAATTCTTAGTTCAAGAAATTTTCTTCAAGATCTAATGAGTAGGGGCAATAAATAAAAGATACTTTCCTAGTTAGACTTTTGGTCTAATATTACTCTTTTCGTTAGGATTTCCCCCCCTTTATCCCTGATCGAACTCCAATTGAGGTGTAATTTAAACCATAGTTAAAAGTTGGGATAAAATTGAAAATTTTTTCCACGATTAGTGTGGTCATATGAAGTCAATGGAGAATCTCAAGCCAATAAGCTACGACTACATTATTTTATGATGAAGTTTTGCTAATCTCAAACGTAGGGCTGTCAAATCTGGCCCAAGCCCAAATAACACTTCCAATCTGTCCAATGTTGGACTGATAATTGACCCGCCCATTTGTTAAACTCAGCCCCTCTTAACCCAATCCATCTCAACCCAATTAACGTTTGGTTGATTTCTAGCCCAAATTGATCAATGAGTAATTTTAGGGGGTAATTTAAAATAACCAGATTTACAAATGGTCATTCAAAAATAGACCACAGTTTTAATAGTAATCGAAATTTAACCACTTTTCATGTAAAGATAAATCTGAACAAAAACATTGTTCAAAATTCGGAAAATACTCAGTATATTATACTAGAGTTCCAGCATAAGTATACTGGAACTCCAGCATAATATACTAAAAGTTTCAGTATAATATACCGGTCCAACATAATATGCTGGAAGTTCATACATATGTGCTCCAATCTCCAATATATTATGCTGGAACTTTCCGTGTGTTGGAGTTCCAGCATAATATGCTGGAAGTTCATACATATGTGCTCCAATCTCCAATATATTATGCTGGAACTTTCCGTGTGTTGGAGTTCCAGCATAATATGCTGGAAGTTCATACACAGGTGCATCGATCTCTAGTATATTATGCTGGACCGGTCTCTGTTGCAGCAAAATAGTGGCTATTTTTTAATGACTTTGCAAACGCTGCCTATTTTTGAATGACCAATCCGAAAACTGGCTAGCACGTGCTATTTTTACGTAATTTTACCAAAATATCTTAGATATGATTTGTTTTTGTTAATATGACCATAACAAAAGAAAAATAGTCTTATTTAGTAATTATAAAAAAATAAAACATATTAATTAAAGCAAAAATAAAACATATTAATTAAAGCTCGATAAGAATTTGGCGGATTGTGCTATCCTCAAATTTTAGTCCAACCAGACCTAGACGATGAAATTTTTAACCAAACCCAGTTAGCCGACTCCACTTACCCAATGGACCGACTGGTCAAAGCCCAATAATTACCCGAAATTCGCCCCTCCACCCCTCAGGCGCATCCCCTAAACTTCCATTTGCTCTCCAAATTCAAACAGCAAGCTCCCTCAAGTGAAAGTTGGACTCATGGAAATGCAGATGGAAATCACGGCTAGAGAAGACCGACTCAGTAATTTGCCCGACGCAATTCTAATTCACATCCTCTCTATGTTGCCGGGGTGGCACAATAAAGAAGTTGTGAGAAGCAGCGTATTATCTAGACGATGGAGGTTTCTTTGGAAGTCCGTCCCAATATCACTCCATTTTGACTTCCCCATTTGTGAAAGCGAAAATGAAAATCTCTTTTACCTGACTTCCATCCATAGAGAGCTTTATTATTGGAGGAATTGCCAGAAATCCGATCATTCAGGGTCTGGCGCCTTAGGTACGAGGATCGATTTGCTAAAGATACTGATTTGTGGGTACATTTTGCAATTAAAGTTGCCAGTGTTGAAAGTTTTGAACTTGGAATTATCGATACGAATCGCCAAAGATATGAGCTTCCTCAATTTGCATATAAAAATACTTCAGTGAGGAATTTGGCTTTATGGTACTGCCAACTCAACCCTTCTGGTAGTGTTAACTGGAGTAGTCTCGTTTCTCTTTCATTTGGGTGCCTGGAATTGACAGAGGGTGTCATAGAAAAAGTATTATCTGGTTGTCCTAACTTGGAGCGCTTGAACCTAGAAGGTGTTGGGGGAATTCATCATTTGGAAATCAGCTCTGTGAAGCTGAGAGAATTGATCATAGAAGATTATGCAAACGAGAATAATGACCTTGAGCTCGAAATATTAGCCCCCTATATTCAAACTTTGAAACTTTTTGGATACTGCAGTGAGATACGCATCCGGCAGAGAAATGTGGCTTCACTTGTCACTGCAGTCCTTCGGGTTAATTTTGCTTTTGATGATGTAGAAGGCAACTTAGATAAGGAGTGTAGATATTTGAAGGAGCTTCTTCAGAGCGTTGCCCATGTCGAAAATCTTGAATTGGGTCCTTGGTGCATCGAGGTTTATTCATACTCTTCACTATCTTTTTTGTTTTGAGACTTTTTACTTGCTATTGGATCATCACTTTAGTACCATTTACAGTGCAACTACCTAAGAAAAGGGCCAAAACTTCCCCTAACCTATTCGCTTTGGTTTAAAAATATCCTTCGTCCACCTATTTTGTTAAAATTGCCCTCGCCGTTAAAAATCTGGACCATTCATGCCCTTATTATGACGTGGCAATTGCTTATTGGTCAAAATTAAAAATCCCACTCTAACCCAAATCTAAATCTGATCCGTAAATAACCCACCCACGACCCATCTTAATCGTTCCAATCCGTTAAACCCTTTTAGCCCCTCAAACACCTGATTCCATACCCAACTCATGTTCTAATCGTTATTTAGGTTTCATTTGTCAAAATTTCATATTTTTTGTTTTTATTAATTTATTATTTGGTACCCTATCTTTTCCCTATGCTTCTTCCCCAACTTAATCACCGTCGACAGTTTTCCAACCAAATCACCGCCAACGAACTGTGAAGCTAATTTGCTCACATGATTTTAATTAACTCCAAAAAGCTACATGGTGGAACAACAAATATAACATTGGAAGAAAGATAACTTATTCAACCATAAAATCTTAAAATGAACTATCAATTTGATTCCAAAGAATACCAGATTTCACTCAGAAAATTGATTTTACAAAAAAAATATCAATTTAGAAATTAAATTAAGACCGAAAAATCTGAGTGGGAGAGGGAGATCCGTGGGTGTTGAAAGGTGAAGATCTGAAAGTTGAAAACGATGGTGGTCCTCTATCGGCAATGGTGAGTTATTGTGCTTTAGTCATGGAGGAGGATGATTAGAGAAAATGTGGAGTGGGAGGGTAGGGATGGAAGAGGAGAAGTTGAGAGGTGAAGTTAGGACATTTTAAAAAGCGGGTCATGGGTCGGGTATGGATGTTTTGGGTCATGGGGTGGGCTAATTAGTGGATGTGCGGTTTAATTTAAGCCAATAGGAAATTGACACATAATAAGTAATAAAAAATTTTCTTAATCAAAACAGGGCCTTTAGTTTCTAGGGATAAATGGGCCAGATTTTTAATGGTGAGAGCAGTTTTAACAAAATAGGTGGATGAGGGGTATTTTTAAACCAAAGCGAATAGGTTAGGGGCAGTTTTGGCCCTTTTCCATAGGTAATAAAGAATTATATTCTCATGGCCATTTGGTTGAACACTCGCAGCAGATTGAAGCAAGACCTTTGAACAAAAATTTTGGCTGAACGCTCCGAATAAAGAGTTTGCAATGGACAGAACAACATGTAAAATTTGGATTGATTTACATTGATCATACTATTTAAATCATGTGAATGGGTTTTTCCAAGTGTTTAAAAGTCCATCTTTGAATTTTCAAACCAACCATGAGCAATTGGATGTGGCAAAACGCAGTCGTGTAATCCAAGCTGCTTTTATGAATTATTCAACAGTTTGCATTTCATTTGTTAAGTATGTCATATTTTCTTAATTTGACATAATATGGTTTACCTATTTTGTTTATAAGTTCCTGTCCATTCTGGAGTTGAAAGGGTGGCATCCTCCACCATCAAGCCGGAAATTCTTAAAACTTAATGCAGCCTTAGAACAGTTGGACTTCCCTGGAGTTTGCAGCTTTCTACAGAGTTCATCGGATCTTGAGACATTGGTCATTGACTGGTGGTACGATTATGAAGAAAGAGTAAGTTTCCGTTAGACCTTTTTTTTCTTACTTCATGTTATCCATATCAAGCAACTATTGATGGAAGAAGAAAATGATTTTTGTATCAACATATTTTTAAGCTTAAGTACTTTAGGAAAATAATCATGATTTTTTTAATTTAGACCACCTTAATCTTAAGTACTTTAGGAAAAGAGGTAAGCTTTAGGTTTTTTTCCGGATTTTGGAGGAAAGGAGCTGCCACTTGTCAACCCTTAACTGCCCTCTAGCTTCTCTTGGTAATGAGTTAAAGCTGAAGTATTCTCTGTGTCCAAAAGGTGACTGTATCCAGCTAAAGAATCAGCCACACCATTGGCTTTTCTGTGACAATGTGTCACCTTGATTTCTTCACTCTGAATCAACTCTTTAATCTCTTCAATAATAGGTTCATAATGCCAAGAAGATTTTGCAACTCACATTCACGATAAGTAAGAGTCAGCTTCCACCCAAATGTTTCTAATACAATATTCAAGACACCTTGTAAGCACATAGGAAAGTGCAAATGCTTCAGTGATTTAGTTTGTCCATGGCATAGTGGGACTGCATATGCCAATAATAATATCACCGAAAGAGTTCTCGCCATGCCACCTGGTCAACATTGTCCTTGTCCACAACTGCCATCCACGCCTAGTTTTACTACCGATCTTAGATCAGTGTTGCACTATTTTACAATAATGCTTGTCCATCGAGGTGAATATTTCTCAATGTGTTCAATGAAATTGCTCCAGGGAATTGGTAGTTCAAATTCTGGAAATTTCAACTAATGCTGCTTTGCATGGATTTCAAAATCTGCTTTTTAATGTTGAAAGTTGATGGTTTCTCTTTGCTAAATCTGCTGCAGCAGCTTGCTTATTGTTTCATTTTTGTGTAAGACATTTAGCGGAACTCTTTTTTTCTCTCAATTTATTTTTCTCAAGAACATAGTCCAACTTGTGCTGCTTTGGCAGAAATTTCATGTTGTTACTATCTAAATTGATTCTATGAGTAACTCAATTCTATAGTCTAGCTTTTTTTGTAGTTGTAGGAAAAAGTTTTTTAACAAGGGATAGTACTCAGCTTCACCGAGGTGATACAAGATCAACTTCAATGAAGCTTTAAAACTTTTTTTTTTGTTGTTTCTGTATACCACTTTGTAACATTTTCCAAGCACTTGACATGCTCCATGAATTTAAAAATTCATCACATTTTTAATTCTATCCACAGTCAACTCCTTGGCTTGCTACTTCCATCTAAGATTCTAAGGAGAATAAGTGGCTAATATAACGGATTCCTTTCATGCAGAACCTGCTGTCAAGGTACACAAATGAGGATGAACAGAGCAGGAAGTTTGAAACATGTAATTTTAACTGCTCATTTCCACATCTGAAGACCATCGAGATCATTAACTTTCATGGACCACTTAGTGAAAATAAGTCTCTTCTTCCATTGGTGAAATATTTTCTCAAGCATGCAACTGTGCTCGAAAAGTTCGTTATTGACGCCATATTCGGAGGGAGTGATGTGTCTCCGGATTATGTTAAAATGACACAGCAGTTCCTAAGCTTTCCAAGATCCTCTCCGCATGCTTCAGTTGTCTTTTCTTATCAATAATCTTTGGCCCCTCTCGTTTGCATTGATTGCAACATACTAAACAGCTGTAACTTTATGTTTGAAACTGGTTTATAGCTGATAGACGAGGTCAGGATTGTACCTGTCAGCATCCAAGGAGTTGTTAATTGTTGTTCATGTCTAAGTAACAGTGTGTTTATTCTGTGATCATCTCTTAAGAAAGCTTGCTCTAATTTTTTTGTGATTTCTATTCATATTCCTGAATCTTGATAATGTTTTTATACTATGAAAATTTTAGTAAAAATCATTTTGCGAAAATAGTATATCATGATTCATTATGTGTTCAAGGACATACTTCTTTGCCTATGTTATTTTTATTTGGTGCCAATGAAACTTTAAAGTATTTTAGTTCTCCACCAACCTTCCGCCAATTAGAATAGTTTCTTTTCTCAATGAAAAACTGGAGGGAGATTGTGAGGAGGATTAGCCCCTCTATCTCCACAAGGTAGGGGTAAGGTCTGCGTACACACTACCCTCCACCGACCCCACTATGTGGGATTATACTGAGTATGTTGTTGTTATTGTATTGTGAGGAGGATTCTTGCTCCAGGAGTTCCCCTCACTAAAGAAGGTGCTCACATGGATTACTTAGTAGTTAGAGTATTTTGATCGTCCAATATTATGAGCTTCCTAGAATAGAGCCCCTTGATATTGAATTCTGGTGCAATTCCCAGAGCATCTAGCGAGATCTCTTTCCATATCAAGAATATCCGCAGGCAGGGACGTCGCACCTGTTATGGAGCCAATCCAGTTGGACGTATCTCAGATTGCTGCTGTGACCAGTCGACCAAGTCAATGTCCAAGCATTTCGGATGGTTCAGAGTCCCAGGTGTCTGAGCACAGCCCCTCCGAGAATGCTGCAAGACGTTCTGCCAATGAGGGGAGAAGACCCCTATGGTCATTTTTCAATACTATTAATAGATCTGAATCAAAAGTGGTAGACATTGAGAATCAAGTCTTTCCAGAGTATGTTGGACTTCCAAGGAAAGGAATCTGGACTTTGGGGAGAGGTAACTTTGTTGTTGAAGTTTAACTAATTTTTCATTGTAATCCCTATCGGGAAGTAAGAAAGCTAATGCAGCTTTGGCTTCTTAATTTAACAGGAAGGAGAAAACCCCGACAGAATTGTGAATTCAGACCTGAATTTTACTGGGAAACTTTGTCTGCATGCAAGCAATGGAACCACACAGGTCTATATTAGTGGCTGAGAGATAACTAAACTGGAACTTAAGGTTCTGAAGTTATGTTGTTTGTACTACAACTAAGTTTCCGTTCATATTTTGGGGCAATAACTTGTCCTAGAACCATTACTGTCCACTATTTAAATCCTAAGCTAATGGTTACCTTCTAATTACTATCCAAAGTTTATGTCTTTGCACTTGAAGTTTTCCTGTTTTTACGTGGTGAAAGATATCTCCTCTTTTTTACTTGAAGTTTATGTCGCTTATTGTCATGCTGTTTCTTTTATGGATATCTTTCACCAAGTGTTTCTCGAACTGAGGGTCTATCTGAAACAGCCTCTCTACCCCCTCGGGTAGAGGTAAGGTCTGCGTACACACTACCCTCCTCAGACCCCACTTATGGGACTTTACTAGGTCGTCGTCGTTGTTGTTGTTTCACCAAGTTTTGGTTGCAGCATTAATTTTTTCTTACCCTATTACTGCTGCAATCAGTTGTTCTTGGTTTGTCCTTCAAAAATGTTGGCTAGTTTTAGGGATATGCTGTGAAGTTACTGAAATATACATCCAAGTAATCATTTATATCCGACAAGAGTGGGTTGCTCTAGTGGTGAGCACCCTTCACTTCCAACCAAGAGGTTGTGAGTTCGAGTCACCCCAAGAGTAATCATTTAAGCTAGCAATCATTTAAGAGGTTGTGGGGAGTTCTTGGAGGAAGGGGAAAAAAGTAATCATTTATATCTCTGATATTATTGTTCTAAGAGTGAGTTGGAAATGGAATGTGCCTTATGTTTTATAACTGTTGTCGTTTTTAAGCTGCCAAACTATAAAGTTGGTTTCCTAGTCGTAATTCATTGTGATTTTGCTATCTTACTTTTTTTATTTATTGATGAAGTAAGAGAATTTTCTAGATGTATGCAAGAAGTACTGGCTGCCTATTTGGCAGGAATCTAGTACCTGTTTTAGTAGATTGCAGTTGTCTTTTTCAGAAATGATAGATAGCATTAATTGACGAGGAAAGTCTCGTATTACCTTAGTCTTTGCTGTCTTGGAAATCTTTGAAGGATGTATTATGTTCGAGATTTTACCTAATTCACCAGAAAACAAAAGTTCAATAGGGAAATAAAGCTATAAAAGAAGCTGCATACTTGGAAAAGCAGAGTCCAGTGATGCTGATATGAGATGTTTATTTGACAAAGTTATGTACATTCAGCTATGGCTCTTGGGAAAATGTCTCTTATAGTCTTATTAAACTGGAACTGTTTACAACAGCTTTTCTGCAGTGAATCGTTTTTATCTTTTATTTCAGCTTGCAAATGTGCAATGTCGACATGCCACTAACTTTTGGGTCGCAACAGGGAAGAAGGCCAAAGTAATATTCAGGGTGACATATGGGAAAAGATAGCAATAAAAAGTTGATTTAGACTGCACTTTGTCTCTGATATTTTGGCTAGTCGGTTATTAATTATCTACAATTTGTTCGTTTACGCGCTTTATCTGCTCGCAGTTATCCTTGCCGGTACCTCATGGTCGGCCCCATGGATGGAGAGATGAACCTAGCAATTATAATACTATTCCTAATAATTTAGAGCAAAAAAGTTTTCAGAAGCAGCTTTTACTTGGACTTGAAAATTCAAGAACAAGCATTATTTTCAAACAGGTATTGCCTTTTCGGATCTATCTAAGTTATTTATTGCATACCACTTGTTAGAAGAAACATGTGTTCTTCATTAATCTTTTTTATAGCTTAAGTCAAGCTTCTATATGTGGCATCTCTAAGAAATTTTCGTGAAAATTTCTGTTGTGTTTCTGCGTATGCAAACATTCTAAGATGTCCATATACAGCTTGCTCATTTGTCTGTTGACTCTTCCTCGTTTGTTTAAGAGAAGGAAACTGCTTTGATCACACAATCATTTGGTGCAAGTAAATTTGTTTGCATTATATTGAAGGTTGTTTTTCCTGCTCCACACCAAAAACATATGACTAAGTGTGAGAATGAAATGGTATCCAATCATATTCCCGTAACCGAGGGACGGATTTATGTGGAGGGATGGTGGGGTACATGCACCCATGTTCCTCTCCCTAGGCTATGTATAAAGTACTAGTAATTTTTTCAATTATGTGGGTAAATATATATGTGACCACCCATGCTCAAGCGACTCGTGTGGTGCAGTGTGACCTAAGTTGCTCGGACCTAAGTTCCTCGGATTCGGCAAAATCTAAATTTTAAGATTTGGAGGTGCAGATCCGGATATGGATACGTGGTGCGGTGATTCGGCTAATAAAAATAGAGCTATAAAAATATTGTATTTGCTATATTCCGTGAAAAACTTACATGAATATTATAGAATTCAATCTTTCATTCTCCAAGATGGACATTATTCTTTCATTGTCCTAAATCTGTTTTATTTTTGATTTTGGGAAATCAAAATCTCAATTTTTCTCCCAAGTTTGTTGATGGACTCCGGTCAAAGTGTCCGAAGTCAGTTGACCGAATCCGGGAAGTATCCCGTTGCCGCCCCCGTCTCGTATTGGGACAGGGACGACACCAAAATCGAAGAGTCCGCGCAACTTAGGTGGTGACTAAGTTCCCTTCTTGTCTCCTTTTTGTCCTCAAGGCCAGTGGTTAGATCCCCATACAATTCTATTTGATTAATTCCCTTTATAATTAATTAATAAATAAATTCTCAATTCCGCATGCCCTTTTCAATGAACAACAAATCCTTGCACACTTTTCTTCTTTCCAATTAATGAACAAACACGTTTTTTTTACTTTCTTAAAATTCCCTTTTGCGTACGTCTTTTTTATTTTTCTTCTCTTAATCATTCTTTTGAGTACAAAACTTTGAAATCCCTAAAAACAGAGTACTCATGACTCGTCTCTGAGGCTCTCTGTGGATTCAAATCAGCAAAATCCCCTGCGCAATATTAAGCGCCGCTTTTAAAAACTTTTTTGAATGATCGTTTAGTTTGCTATATATAACGTGAGATATTTAAAACTATAAGTAATGATGCTATTATTGACCGTTTTCAAAGTGTAAAAACTCATCGAGGACAATTGTAAAGTGAATGATATTTTTTTGCGAATATAATATTAATATAGTTTGCCCGTCAACTTGTCGTCATCATAAAATTTTATATAATGTAAAGATAATAGTGCACCCATAGTATTAAAATCATGAATACGTGTCTGCTGTAACCTCTGATACAAGCCATGCACATATGAAACAATCATAGAACTTTTTTCTTCTTCCAACCCTATTTATATGATTTTTCCATCTTTGAATGTGCCAAGATATTCACTATTCCTATAATAATACTATTCTATACAACTTTCAAGAATTCTATCCATCTAACAGTTCATATTTTAAACTTTGATGCATGTTCTCTTTCGAACTAACTTTTCAACCATTATTTTAATGTTTTTGTTCCAATACCATAATATAAAGTGAAATTAACATCTTAAACTCCATGTTCCATCAATGTCGTTATATAAAATGTATGGAAGGAATATCATTAATAAGAAGAAGCTGAGGCTTGGACGGTAGCAGCAGACATTTGGAACATGTTCCTGTCAATTTTTGGGATAGCCTGAGTCATGCCTAGCTCCATCAAAGATGCATATGAAAGTTGGTGCTCTTGGAAAGTTGGAAAACCCATCAAAAAGACATGGTTAATGGTACATGCCTCAATCTTTTGGTGTATATGGAAGGAACGAAACGATAGGTGTTTTGATGGGATCTCAACTTCAAATCATGCTCTTAAAGCTAAATGTTTAGTGGATTTATTTAGCTGGCTTAACCAATCTCCTGTATCTAGCTGTGAACAACTTTTGGAAGGTATATGCTCTCTAGTTATAGATTAATCTTTGTATTGAGCAGTCACCTTTTTCCTTCTTGTAAATTTTTGTCTGCATCTTCTTGCTGCCTTTAATGAAAACTTATTACTTCATCAAAAAAAAAAAGCTGAGGCTTGGACAAAAGAGTGAAATCCTTCATATTGCGTGCAACGCTGGCTGGATTTCTTCCTAACCTGAGCTTCTTACTTGCCTTCTTGAAGGACAATTCAGCGCATGGTTTAGATGGTCGACTTCCTGATTGGCCATGTATAGGAGATTGGTCTGAAAGTGTGATGAGAAGTGTGGGCCAGTATAATCCATTTAAACATGATTGACAACTTCCTCACTTCTGGCAATCCCTGGATGAGGTTGTGCCAATATGGATAAAATAAGAGATCTCAATACTATGTTCCTTTTGGCTTTAATCGGGATGATAGTTTTCTGGAGACCTATCTCTGGGCAGCTTGAAAGAAGTGCCTCTATGGTCAACCCAAATTGAATCAAAATCCAGGAATCTTATGGTATATTACGAATTAGAACCAATGTTCTTTAAACATATGTGGACATTGTTTTGGGATAGAACAAAGAAAAAACTGAAGATCCAAGTTTAAGACAAAACGAGTATTTGATCTGGATTTCAGTTCCTCTTCTCCTTCTTGACTCTGTCTATCCTTCTTCCTCGCCGTGTCGAATATTGCATTTTGCTGGTGAAACGAAATATATTGGTTAATGTTGACTTTCCTTTGTCATTAAGTTCGTAGTTGTACTTCTTTTCTTTCTATTGTTACATATACTCAATTTCTTCTATTCTACAACCTTACTGATCAGGCAAATCTTTTGAATGGAAACAAGTTAACTGCTGATTAACTGCTGAAAAAGTTTAAGATATCAAGCTGATGATTCAAAGCAACATGTACAAGTATTTGAGCATTCTTCTTGATGGAAAGGAGCGTTTTGAGTAGGAAGCTTTGTCAACAATAAAGATGGAAGGTTCTGTCAAATAAATCTCTAAAAGTAGTGATAAAGACTGCTATGTTTTCACAAAGTACTTTTCCCAGTTGGGTAGTGTAGTGATCATACCCCACTGACAAGAGGGGTTGCTCAGATGGTCAGCACCGCCCACCTACAACCCTAGGGTCGTGGGTTTGAGTCACTAAAGAAGCAATAGCTCCAACAAAGGAGATCAAAGGGGAGGGGAATCAACAAAGAAAATCATACCCCACTGGTTTTTTTTTGTTGATGTTGTCAGTGGCGTACGCAAAATTTTTCGTAAGCGGTGTCACCATTTAAAAAGTTGGAAAAAATAAACAAATAACTGTAAATTTGTGGTAGTGTAGTGATCATACCGTTGGACTTAGAGTTCTGCAGTGAGCGCTCTATTTCTACTAGTGGTAGTTTGTGTCTGGAGTAAAACTCCTTTCCTTCTTACCATATTGCAGAGAAAGAAGAAAGTATAGAATTGTAGAAATATTATACTTCAGTGCTCTAGATTTTCACCCAGACTCAAATAGTTAAATTTGTTCAACAAATTTTTTGGATTTTTCTTCAATTAGATTATGTCTTGTATATATTCAAAGGTTGAGAGCATGGTCATTTTGGTTCATGAATTCGAACATACACTATGAACATTTCAAAATTAAGTGTCTCTTCACTTGCCAAATTAGCCCTTTTTCTTTCAGCTCTTCAGCGGGCATCCTTTCCTGAATTAGAAAGAGGGGTTTAATTGTACTTGCTTGATGAAGGAAGTAATGGCTGCAGTTAGTAACTGAACTCAACTTTATAGGTGGTGACATGGAAGGTTGAAGCATTTCTCTGATTTGCTATAGAGGAACATGGGAAAAAGGCGAAATGGCTTCCTGGCCACTTAAACTTGTAGGACTTTTGAAAGCCGATATACAAACTTTCGTCTTTCCAATTTAAACGCTCAAACTCGTGAAACCTATAATTAATAAACACATTTGACCGTTGACTCATCCCATGTGGCGTAAGTTGGTCCTAGTCAGTCTGCTGCGTGAGTGTCACGACGTTTAGGAGCGTGAGAGCCCCCTTCCCAACGCCCAACGGTAAAAAATGGGGCCTATTTAAGTGGGTTCTTATTCCTTCAATGTAAAACACATTCCCTCTATTATATGCATTTGAAGCTCCATTCCTTCATATTTCTTAAAATCTGAAGCTTTCTTTATTTTTTCCCCTTTTTTCCAGATTGTGATAATGAATCAAAGTCCTGTATTTTGTCATTTTGGAGTTGAAGCTCATATTTGCATCACTTGGAAGCCAACAAATCCAGGAAGAAGGTTTTATGGGTGCTCAAACTATAGTCAAGCCAATTCTTGTAATTTTTTAGGTGGTTTGACCCACCTCTTTCAGATTACTATAAACAGGTGATTTCCGGGCTGTTATCAAGAATGAGAGAGAGAGATCGACTACAGCATAGGAAGAGGGTGACGATCATTGTAACTTTAGTTGTTGTAGTAGCACTAATAATTGTAATTTTCTTCTTAATCTAGTTAGCACTAATCAATGTCTTCATAACCCTATGTACAATGATAATGATAGAATGAATGATGTATTTTTTGTGGAATGAAAAGCAATTTTAACATAAACAATCACACATATATAAACAACCAAGTTCGATCAGCCTTCTTGGTTGACAAAATTAGCACTGAACTGCTGTCTAGTAGCAGAAATAGTTTAAACATTGTTCCAAAAGAAAAGTCATACTTAAACAGACTTAAGTTAACCTACAAATTAAGTTCTGCAACTAACAAACTTAAGTTATCAAAAAAACATACATTCAGTCATCTTCAAGGTTGAGATTGGTTGCTGTTTTGCTGAGATTGGTTGCTGTTTTGCTGAGATTGGTTGCTGTTTTGCTGAGATTGGTTGCTGTTTTGCTGAGATTGGTTGCTGTTTTGCTGAGATTGGTTGCTGTTTTGCTGAGATTGGCTCAAGTTTGGACATGAAGACTGGCTTGGCTGAGATGAAGAATGGACTTGAGGTTGGCTAAGGCTTGCTTGAGTTTGTCTTCTCCGCAACTGTTGTTAAAGTTGCCTTTGTGATATAGCATTTCTTCCTTGCCATCTTAGTCCAGGTGCACTGTATCCAAGATCGATATTGGTCTGCCCAGCATCCACTACTTTTGTAGGAGCAGAATGTACCCTATCTCTTGATCCACACTGCATATGAAGCCAAATTAGTACCCAAAATACTAATATATAAATAAAAATTCAAATCCTTAATTGTCTTACCGTTTCTATCACTGTTCCTGTATCACTAAACAATATACCAAATCCAGTAGTTCTTGGTCTTCCTCGAAGTCCACTACCTCTTGGCCTTTCTCTAACACTAGCTATAATATCCTCAGAAGTTTTTGATCTCATACTTCCAGTATCCTGATGTAAGACAAAATACTATCTAGTAATTTAAAAATTACGGCCCTAATACAAATTAACTAAAGTAAAAAATGAATACTTACAGATGCACTTGCAACAGCTGATGGTTGAGTATTTCTGGTCCTGGCAGTTCCAGAATCACTTGTAGGACCTGATTGTTGATTTGTTGTTTGAGCAGCCTGTGATAATTGAGTAGCACCAGCATTACTGGTTCCTGTTGTTCCAGATCATTGTCCTTTCTGAAATTTTCAAAATATAAAATGAGATATAGAAACAACCAAAGTACAAAACACAATCAGAAACAAATTGAATACATTACCAGGATAGGACACCCCTTCCTGTTATGGCCTAATGTCTTACAATTAGAGCATATCATTGGTGTCCCTTTCCTTGATCTCTTTCCAAACTTCTTTTTAGGTTCATCTTGAGCTCTTTTTCTATTTTTCTTAGGTCTACCAGGCATCTTGGTAATTACAGGAGGCTCAATACTTGGATTCTGTGTTGATGGCCACATTTCCATGTTGGTTACTGGCTGTATGTAACAACTAAAAGTCTTCAGGTATGTTTCTTTCTTGTACCAATGGGTTGCATAGTCAGCAGGCTCAAATCTCTTAAAAAATATTGCACATATTGCATGGGAGCATGGTATTCCTTTGAGCTGCCATGATCTACATGTGCATGTATTGTTGGAGAAGTCAACAATATGTTTGTAAACCCCATGTAGTATCTCATACCCAGTGTTCCCATTCCATTTAAATTCATGCTTAACAACATATTGAGATTGTTCCTCTATGTACCCCATTGCCATAGGAGATACATCAGAAATCCACCTTGTTGCAAATTCTCTCATGGTAGTCATCCTCTTCATCACCTTCACTCTAATCTCTTCTAACATGGTTAAGATAGACTTGTGCCTTGCAGACAAGATCCAATTGTTAAAGGTCTCACATATGTTGTTCTCCACAAAATCACATTTGCTCCAGTCTTTGAAGAATGCTCTACACCAACATTGTTTTGGGTATCTCAGCAAGTCCTCAATGATCTTACTATCACCTAATTCTGCCAGCTCATCTATCTTAGCCTTCAAATATGCTTCAAATGAAGCCTTTGCACAGGCCCAGAACTTCTTCCTTCTTTCCTCTCCTTTCCACTTTTGTTTCCAGTTGCTCCATATGTGTCTTGTACACATTTTGTGCTCAGCATTTGGTAACAACTCAAAAACAGATGCAACAAGTCTCTTAAGAAACAAGAATAACAATTAGAATATCAGAAACATATATAAAGTAGACAAGTAATTAAAGGAAGAACAGGGGTGAAGTATATACCTTCTGCATATCAGAAATGATGGTCAGCCCCTCACCTTGGGATTTAGTGAGCTGCAGATCATGCATCAGGCACCTAAAAAGCCATAACCTGTCTGCTTTGTCTCCTTTTCCACCACTGCCCAGGCAACAGGGTACATTTGGTTGTTACCATCTTTACCTGCATGATAGTAGCTCACCCTTACACACACCCTTCAGAAATGCTCCATCAAAGCCAATAACATTTCTATATCCTTCCAACCAACCAACTTTGCAAGCATGTAGACAAATATAGATACCCACAAACACCCTTTTTCCAGGTATTGTCGCCTTGAAGGTCTTCACAACAATAGTGCTGCCAGGATTTGTAGACCTCAACATGTCAGCATAATCATATATTCTAGCAAACTCCTTCTTGTAATTACCAAGATACTGACCCATGACCTAATGTTTAGCCCTAGCACATATGGATTTTCCCACATACACACCATACTTTATCCTAATCAAATCCTGCAACTTCCTAAGCTTTATGTCAGGTTGGTTGATAATCTTGTCCTTGAAATGTTTAGCTACCCATGCTGTATTAGCCATCTTGTTATTGGTTGCTCTAAAATACTTATGAACAAGATAATAGCTGCTGACAATGAAATTCCATGTGTATCCATCCAAACTTCCCAAAATATGCCATATACATCTTGTTGAGTTCACACATTTTGCCCTAACCCTATGTTGCTCATTAGGCCTCAACTTAATTTGAACTCTTCTTTGTACAGAATAATCTTGCAAAGCAGATCTGAACTGTTTCACATTTTCAAACACCATTTCCAACTGGAAACAAATTTTCTTACAAGCAGGATCAAAGTATACCCTGCTGCTGTATCTTCTTGGTTGAGGGTTATGCACCCCATCTTCTTCAACTACTTCATCATCCGTATCCTCACTACCTGGATCTGAACTGTCAAGATATTTCTCATCCCCTTCCAACTTTCCAGCATATTTAGACCCCATATCTTTATACATGTCTTCAAAACCAGGATCTATACCTACAGGTCCACCAAGTATCTCATCAGTATTAACTTCACTAGATCTTAATTTACTACTCTTTGCATTCACTTTAGCCTGTCTAGCAGCAACAACTTCAGGTTCTAGGTCACTTGTCTCTCCAATAATATCCTCATCAGAACCATATAATGACTCATACGTATCATCATCATCATCTTCAGAAATAACCTCAAATCTTTATCACTCTCAGTACTTAGCTCATCACCCTCAACATCACCCTCAACATCACCCTCTTAATCAGTTGCTAAATAAAAGTTTTTGAACTCACCTTTATCTTCACTAGACTCTTCTATTTCAGAATCACTTTCAATGACCCTCTTTTTACCCTTCCCATGAGTGTTATCACCCCTATTTATATCATTGTTAGGTGAGTGTGTTGCCCTAGCATTAACATCGCTTGTTTTCCCATGTGGCATTTCATTAAAGCCAAATGGTTGAACATTAGTGGGGTACACATTTAAACCACCACTACTTAACATTTCATCTAGGTCTAAATCAAGACATGGTGTATTAATTGTGTGAAATAAATACACATTAATAAAATCCTCATCCTTAAGGTCTTGACAGAAAGCTAACACATCAGCATCATATTTCAGAAATCTAAATTCTCCTTTTTGGTTAATTTTACATGCATATTTATCTACTGTTAAGTACCCCATATCCTTAGCCCAATTATGAAAATGAATTATATGTAATTCATCAATGTCAGCTTGAAGAACAACTGGCCAAGTTTGCCCATTTATATACCTCATAATTGGGTCAGCCACTAACTATCCTAGATGATGAAACTGTAATTTCACATAGACAGTCATTGAAACCTATAAAAAAAG